GGACCCTCCGACAGCGCGGCGCTCCCTCAGCACGGACCCTCCGACAGCGCGGCGCTCCCTCAGCACGGACCCTCCGACAGCGCGGCGCTCCCTCAGCACGGACCCTCCGACAGCGCGGCGCTCCCTCAGTTCTGACTGTCTCATGTTTGGCAATCTATCCAGATCCCAAGTTGAATTGCTTAGTGCGATAACTTTTTCCTGATTTTTGCCAATACCCGATATTGCACCTTCTGTCTCCGCTGCCTACACGGCCATGTGGCCTTTCCGAGCAGCGGATGGCGGCGGATTAACTTACATTCCCTCTCACTCACCCGCTGTCCGCCATCACAGTTCTGCGCCCCAGCTCATACGCATGCGCAATCAAATGTTCCGTTTCTCAATGTCGTCACAGTGCTGCCGCCGCCTGGACAGGCGAGTGATTACAACAGGGTCTACCTTGGATTTGTCCTCCGCTTGACAGAAGCACTGGTCACTCTTCACACATCAATGGGCGTATTTTTTGCCGTTTTCCACGTGGTTTGTGCACTGATACAATGGTCCTGCGCCGAGAGCAGCGAAGTTGTGACTTAACGCTGTGTTGTGTGCCCTATGGAAACATAGTAATTGTTCAGGAAGTTTAAAATTCGAATGGAACAAAAACAAAGTTGCTGGAAAAGCTCAGCAGGTCTGGCAGCATCTGTGGAGGAGAAAACAGAGTTAACGTTTCGGGTCCGGTGACCCTTCCTCGAATGGGTCGGTCTAATCTGCTTGAGACTTTGTTTGTGTGAACCTGACACAGTTATTTGCCGGAGAATTCATCGGAGAAGCACTGGGATAATTACTGAGGAAATGTTACACTGGTTAACACCTGGTGATCACCTAACACAAAGATTCCACGGAAGAATAGATACAACGTAAGTGAATGGGCAAGAACTTGGCAGGTAGAATATAACATGGAAAAATGTGAGGTTATGCATTTTGGCAGGAAGCATGGAGCAGCTAAATACCATTTAAATGGAGAAAGACTGCAGAAAGCTGCAGAGCAGAGATATTTGGGAAAAAAATTGCAAGGGACATAAAAATGAATAAGAAGAAATTTATTGACCACTGCTAAGTGCCCTTTGGAGATGGTGGTGAGCTGCCTTCTTGAATTGGTGCATTCTACATGGTGCAGGGAGGGACTCCCAGGGTTTTCACCCAGAGACCATAACATACAGTGATATGTTTCCAAGTTAGGATGGGGATTGGCTTGAAGGGGAACTTGTAGGTTGTGATTTTTTTTAATGTATCTTCTGCCTTTCTCCTTCTAGGTTCCAAAGGAGCCAGGTTTGGGAGGTGCTACTGAAGGAGACTTAGAGAGTTGATGCAGTTCTTGTAAAAACTGCTGCTATTGTGTGTCAGTGGTGAAGGGAATGAATGTTTGAAGGTGATGGTGCGTCGGAGATTGAGGGGTGACCTTAAATAGGTTTATAAAATCATGAGGGGCATGGATAGGGTGAATAGCCAAGGTCTTCTTCCCAGGGTAGGGAAGTTCAAAGCAGAGGGCATAGGTTTAAGTTGAGAGGAGAAATATTTAAAAGGGACCTGACGGACAACCTTTTTATGCAGAGGGTGGTGCATGTATAGAACAAGCTGCCAGAGGAAGTGACACAATTACAACATTTAAAAGGCACCTGGATGGGTACATGAATAGGAAGTATTTTGAGAGATATGGGCCAAATGCTGCCAAATGGGACTAGATCAGTTTAGGATATGTGATTGGCGTGGACAAGTTGGACCGAAGGATCTGTTTCTGTGCTGTATAACTCTATGACTCAATGCTAAAGGGAAAGCAGTGATCAGAGGCAGTGTTGGCCTGCTAAAGACTGAAAGTGACGATATTGTCAATAACTGCGGAGAAATGTCAAACATATTGAATAATTACTTTGCCTCAGTATTTACGATAGAGGAGAAAACGACACGTGCCCCGACACACCTGTTCCCTCTGTCACCGCTTCAGAGATCAGATCATCTTCCTGAGAGTCAACCCAAGGAAAGTGACGGGCCTGGACGGTGTCCCCAGCTGAGCACTCAGATCCTGTGCAGCCCAACTGGCGGAGGTATTCATCGACATTTTCAATCTCTCCCTTCTACAAACTGAAGTCCACACCTGCTTCAAGAAGACCACCATCATCTCCGTACCCAAGAAAACACATGCAATGTGCCTTAATGACTACCGCTCAGTGGCTCTGACTTCAATAATCAGGAAGTGCTTCGAGAGGTTGGTCATGGCCCACATCAGCTCCAGTCTCCCAGCCTGCCTCAATCCCCTACAATTTGCCTGCTGATGTAAAAGGTCCACAGAGGATGCCATATCCCTGGCCCTGCAATCATCCCTGGACCATCTGGACAACAAAGATACTTACATCAGACTCCTGCTCATTGACTACAGCTCCATCTTCAACACTATTATCCCCTCCAGACTGATCACAAAACTGCATGACCTTGGTCTTGGTTCTGCCCTCTGCAACTGGATCCTCAGCTTTTTGCCTCATAGGCTGCGATCAGTGAAGATAGGTAACTGCACCTCCTCCACAATAATACTCAACACTGGAACCACTCAAGAATGCACTCTCAGCCCCCTACTGTACTCCCTGTACAGCTACAACTGTGTTGCCAAATTCCAAACAAACACCATCTACAAGTTCGCTGATGACACCACCATAGTGTGACGGATATCTAACAATGATTCAAAATACAGAAGGGAGATAGAGGGCTTGGTGATGTGGTGCGATGAAAACAATCGGTCTCTCAACGTCAGCAAATCTAAAAAACTGATCATTGACTTCAGAAAGAAAGGAGGTAGACATGCCCCATCTACATCAACGGAACTGAGATTGAGAGTAAAGACCATCAAGTTCCTCAGAGTGACAATAACCAACAACCTGTCCTGGACTTCCAATGTATATGCGACAGTCAAGAAGGCACAACAACGCTTCTTCTTCCTCCGGCAGCTCAGGAAATTTGACATGTCCATAAGGCCTCTCACCAACTTCTACAGATGCACCAATGAAAGCATACTGTCTGGGTGCATAATGCCCTGGTATGGCAACTGCTCTGCCCAGGACCGTAAGAAACTACAGAAGGTGGTGTGCATAGCCCAGACCATCATGGAAGCCAACCTTCCATCCACGGACTCTATTTACACAGCTCGCTGCCGTGGAAACATCATCAAAGGCCTATCACACCCCAGTAATGATCACCTACAACTTCTGTTAGGCAGAAGATACAGAAACCTAAACACACGGACAAGCAGGTTCAGGAATAGCTTCTTTCTGGCTGTTATCAGACTATTGAATGGAGTGTAGCCTCAAATAATGTAACGTGTATGCTGCTAAGTGTTTTTGATCTGTACGTCCTTTGCTTGCTGTGATCTGCCTGTACCGCTTGTGAACAATGTTTTTCACTGTATTTCAGTACACCTGACAATAAAATCAATCAATCAATCAAAATCACTTTCTGGAAGTCGCATGGAAATTACTAATGGATCAGGGACAGGGTCTGAGTGAAATTAAATTGATAATAAGGAAATTAATGGATCTAAAGAGTGACTAATCCTCAGTACCTGACAGTTTTCATCCAGGTGTGTTAAAGGAAATAGAGGAGTACATTGTATATGACCTAACTATAAGCTTTCAAAGTTCCACAGAAGCAGGAGATGTCCCTCTGGATTGGAAAATTGGACATGACTCTCCACTTTTTGAAAAGGGTCAAAGATGAAAATCAAGGAATTACAGAGCAGTTAGCCAAACATCTGTGGTGGGGAATTTGCTGGAGTCTATAATAAGGATAGAGTAAATGAACTCTTCAAAAATTTTTCTTTAATCAGGGAGATCCAATATGGATTTGACAGGTAGATCATGCCTGTTGAACAGTTGAATTGTTTGACTAAGGTCATGGACAAGGGAATGTCTATGGATGTTGTTTATGTGGACTTCCAGAAGCCATTTGATAAAGTCATAAAGTTGTAGAGTTACAAAGCACGGAAACAGACCTTCAGTCTGACTCGTCCATGCCAACCAGATATTCTAAATTAATCTAGTCCCATTTGCCAGCATTTGGCCAATATCACTTCAAATCCTACCTATTCATGCACCTATCCAGATGCCTTTTCAAGGTTCAATTTGTACCAGCCTCCGTGTAGTTCCTCTAGCAGCTCAGTCCATACACAAATCACCCTCTGTGTGAAAACATTGCTCCTTAGATCCTTTTTATAGCTTTCCCCTTTTACCTTAAACCTATGCCCTCTAGTTTTGGTGGTCGCACAAAAGAGACTGTGAGCTAAGGGGGAAGCCCACAGAATTGACAGCAAATTGCTGACATGAATGGGAAACTGGTTGAATGGCAGTCAATAGAAAGTAGTTCAAGTGCATAAATGGTTAAAATGCCAGGAACAGGTGCAGAAAATAATCAAGAAGGTGAATGGAATGATGATCTTTAATTAAAAGGACTGAAATACAATGACATGGAAGTTATGTTGCAGTTATACAAAAGTCTCGTCAGGCTCCTACTGGAAGTATTGTGAGCAAATCTGGGCATCACACCTTAGGAAGAATATTGGCCTTGGAGAGAGAACAATACCAGTTTACAAGAATGATTGGTGGTTACAAGAAGATGCAAATGGATTGGTTGGATGGGGTGGCCAGTGGCAGATGGAATTTAATCCTGATATATATGAGGTGATACACTTTGGAAAAAGGAACAAGACAAGGAGTTCATAATGAATTGAGGGACAACAGAGGGGCAGAAACAGAGGATGAGAAACAGACTGTAGTAACAGAGGATGAGAAATAGAGGGGCAGAAACAGAGTATCAGAAACAGACGATGAGAAACAGAGGGTCAGAAACAGAGGGGCAGAATCAGAGTGTCAGGAACAGTGCATGAGAAACCGTGGGACAGAAACAGAGAAGCAGAAAAAGAGGATGAGAAACAGAGGATAACAAACAGACTGGGCAGAAACAGAGGATGAGAAACAAAGAATGAGAAACAGAGAGTGAGAAACAGGGAATGAGAAACAGAGGGGCAGATGCAGATATTGAGAAACAGAGGGGCAGAAGCAGAGAATGAGAAACAGAGGGACAGAAACAGAGTATCAGGAAGAGTGGATGAGAAGCAGAAGGACAGAAAAAGGGAAGCAGAAACAGAGGATGTAAAACAGGATAAGAAACAAAGGGGGCAGAAACAGAGGATGAGAAACAGAGAATGAGAAATAGCGGGGCAGAAACTAAGGGGGAGAAACAGAGGATGAGAAACAGAGGTGCAGAAACAGGATCAGAAAAAAAGGGTTAGAAACAGAGGGTCCAAAACAGAGGATGATAAATAGAGGGGCAGAAACATAGGATGAGAAACAAAGGGGCAAAAAGACAGGGGCTGAAACAGAGTATCAGGAGAAGAGGAGGGGAAACAGAAGTGCAGAAAC